GAAAAATATATGAGGGGGGAACACTACACGATGGGCACCAGGCTCCTGTGGTAGAAAAGTCTGATCAAGAGGTTTTCTCCTGTGTCGATTTCTCATAATTAATGTCAGGAACTGCTGAGCATTTCATCACAGTCAGTAAGGGCTTAGTAATATGGTTATTTAAATACAGTGAATTGATGCAGCTAATGATGTTTGAAGTCAGGTTTATCTATCCTTCTGTGGTGTCCCTCTGTGGATCTAACTCAGGAGGGGCACTCTTGCTACACCAACTCAGCTGAACCTATCCTTTCACCATCCTCGCAGTATAATAGACAGGATTACTCTGTAAATTTTCATCAGTAGTTAAGGGGATGCTATATTATAATTTAGTGATACCTGCATTATTCAAGCATTTCTATGTTCAACCAATGATGACCCTGAACTTCTGGGCATCTTGTACCCATGTGTGCCACAAAGGATAGCAGTGACACCAAGGCCTAAGTCCCCTGGTATAGAACCAGATGTAGGCACTCAGAGGCCTTTTAGATATTGAATCCTACTGAAAGCCAACATGATTCTGGGTCCTAACTCTCATAGTAATTTTGGTAATCTCCAAGCATTCTGAAATATATAGGGGGCTACTTAGGAATTAAGGAAATTGAAAAAAATGTGTAGGTGAAAGTAGAAGAGATTTCCTCCATTTATAGGCAGTGGACTAGGGTATTATTGGCACATTGGAACTTTTTTTGAAGCCCTGCTGTGAAACTCTGCACAGCTTTGATCTCAGTGTAGTGCAGAAATGACCAGATTTTAGTAGCTATTGTGTCAGACAGGATGATGTTGCTTCAGGGCTGAATGTGATTTGATTTTTTGGTGCTGCAGAAAAACCTAGTATCAAGCAGGGCAATAGAAGGTCTTTAACTAAAGTTATCTCTTGTGTCCTTTAGCTGTCTAAGAGATTTGCTGATCCTCCTAATAAAAAGAAACTATCTCAGTGCTGTTGGCGATTCACAGAAAATCACTAGTTTACTCTATTGATGGGCAGCTCTTCAGAAATCCCAGTTTAAACAAAAGACTTAAATACCTTATGGAGAAGACACCCAATTATGCAGCTGCACAAGAAAGTGGTCACAGAATGGCCTCAGCTACAAAGCAGATGTATGAATCCAGTTTTGTGCTGCATAAATGCTATGGGAAGGGCTTTTGGAAAGACCAGGTGATAGGCAAGGTGCAAGATACCCATGCAAGGTGCACGTCTACGGGGGTATGATATAATAGGCATCACAAAAACATGGTGGGATGGCTCCTATGACTGGAGTGTTGGAATGGAAGGTTACAGGCTTTTTAGGCAAGAAAGGCCTGGCAGGCGGGGAGGGGGAGTTGCCCTTTATGTTAGGGATAGGCTGGAGAGTATGGTACTCTGTCTGGGGACAGGTGAGCAGTCCACAGAGAGTTTGTGGGGCAGAGTTAAAGGGAATATAGCTATGGGAGACATTACTGTGGGGATCTGTTACAGACCGCCTGATCAAGAAGAACCTGCGGATGAAGCAGTCCATGGACAGATAGGAAAAGCCTCATGCTCACAGGCCCTTGTTCTCATGGGTGACTTCAACCACCCTGACATCTGTTGGAAGGACGGTACGGCCCGGCACAAGCAATCCAGGAGGTTCCTCGATTGTGTAGAAGACAACTTCTTTCTGCAAGTAATAGAGGAGCCGACAAGGAGAGGTGCCGTGCTTGACCTCGTGCTCACCAACAGGGAAGGGCTCGTTGGAAATGTGACGCTCCAGGGCAGTCTTAGATGCAGCAATCATGAGATGCTCGAATCTGAGATCCTCAGGACAGTGAGAACAGCGTGCAGCAAGCTCACTGCCCTGGACTTCAAAAGAGCAGACTTTGGCCTCTTCAGGAACCTGCTTCGGAGGGTTCCATGGGACACAGCCCTAGAGGGCAGAGGGGCCCAAGACTGTTGGTTGATATTCAAGGATCACCTGCTGCAAGCTCAGGAGTGTTGCATCCCAACCAGAAGGAAGTGCAGCAGGAGGGCCAGGAGACCTCCTTGGATGGATAAGGAGCTGATGAGGAAAATTCAATTGAAAAAAGAAGCTTATAATAAGTGGAAGCAAGGACAGGCAGCATGGGAAGAGTACAGGGATGTTGTGCAGGAAGGTAGGGACCAGGTTAGGAAAGCTAAGGCCCAGTTAGAACTAAGTACATAGCAAATAAAAAACAGACTAGGGAGAATGTAGGCCCCCTCAGGAAGCTCTCAGGAGAACTGGCTACACAGGATTTGGAGAAGGCTGAGGTTCTGAATGACTTCCTTGCCTCGGTCTTCACTGGCAAAGGCTCTGACCAAACCACCCAAGTCTTGGAAGGCAGACGCAGGGACTGTGAGAATGAAGACCTTGCGCCCACTGTAGGAGAGGAGCTGGTTCGAGACCATCTTAAAAATCTGAACGTGCACAAGTCCATGGGTCCTGATGAGATCCATCCGCGTGTCCTGAAGGAGCTGGCAAATGAAGTTGCTAAGCCACTGGCCATCAGATTTGAAAAATCATGGCAGTCAGGTCAAGTTCCCGATGACTGGAAAACGGGAAATATAACCCCCATTTTCAAGAAGGGGAAAATGGATGACCCGGGGAATTACAGACCAGTCAGTCTCACCTCTGGGCCTGGCAAAATCTTGGAGCAGATTCTCCTGGATGGCATGCTAAGGCACATGAAAAACAACAAGGTGCTTGGTGACAGCCAGCATGGCTTCACTAAGGGGAAATCCTGCCTGACCAATTTGGTGGCCTTCTATAATGGGGCTGCAGAACTGATGGACAGGGGTAGAGCAGTTGATGTCATCTCCCTCGACTTGTGCAAAGCGTTCGACACTGTCCCACACGACATCCTTGTCTCTAGATTGGAGCGACATCAATTTGATGGATGGATCACTCGGTGGATAAAGAACTGGCTGGATGGCCACACACAAAGAGTTGTGGTCAATGGCTCAATGTCTGGCTGGAGACCAGTAATGAGTGGTGTCCCTCAGGGATCGGTGTTGGGGCCGGTCTTGTTTAACACCTTTGTCGCTGACATGGACAGTCGGATTGAGTGCACCCTCAGCAAGTTTGCCGATGACACCAAGCTGTGTGGTTCAGTTGATACCCTGAAGGGAAGGAATGCCATCCAGAGGGACCTTGACACACTTGTGAGGTGGGCTGATGCCAACCTCATGAAGTTTAACCATGCCAAGTGCAAGGTCCTACACCTGGGTCGGAGCAATCCCAGGCACAGCTACAGGTTGGGCAGAGAAGAGATTCAGAGCAGCCCTGCGGAGAAGGACTTGGGGGTGTTGGTTGATGAGAAAATGAACATGGGCCGGCAGTGTGTGCTTGCAGCCCAGAAAGCCAACCGTATCCTGGGCTGCATCAAAAGGAGCGTGACCAGCAGGTCGAAGGAGGTGATCCTGCCCCTTTACTCTGCTCTTGTGAGACCTCACCTGGAGTATTGTGTGCCGTTCTGGTGTCCTCAGCATAAAAAGGACATGAAACTGTTGGAACAAGTCCAGAGAAGGGCCATGAGGATGATCAGGGGACTGGAGCACCTCCCATATGAAGACAGGCTGAGGAAGTTGGGGCTGTTCAGCCTGGAGAAGAGAAGGCTGCGTGGAGACCTCATAGCAGCCTTCCAGTATCTGAAGGGGGCCTATAGGGATGCTGGAGAGAGACTCTTCATTAGAGACTGTAGTGATAGGACAAGGGGTAATGGGTTAAAACTTAAACAGGGGAAGTTTAGATTGGATATAAGCAGGAAATTCTTTCCTGTTAGGGTGCTGTGGCACTGGAATGGGTTGTCCAGGGAGGTTGTGAATGCTCCATCCCTGGCAGTGTTCAAGACCAGGTTGGATGAGGCCTTGGGTGATACGATTTAGTGTAAGGTGTCCCTGCCCATGTCAGGGGGGTTGGAACTTGATGATCTTAAGGTCCTTTCCAATCCTAACTATTCTGTGATTCTATGATTCTATAATGGAGTCAGGAGCAGGGAAGATGTGTTTGTACCGTATCCCTTCTAGGAGCGCGGCATACCTTAGGCAAAGCTTAGGAGCATGTCACTGTAAAAGCTCAACCAAAATAATTCCAGGGCAGACTAACATTAGAGTAAGAGTCATGTTACGGTCTAATTCTGGTGGGTTTTGCTAATTGGTGAAAACGAAGTGCTCTGTGATCATGCATTTCGTTCTTGCAGGCTCTTTCTTACGTTACAAATTGGTGCGACATGAGATTAGCAGAGTCCTGGAAAGTAAATGCCCACTAATACCTCATTATGAACTATTAGACATTTATTCGGATTGGTTTAAGCTGAGAGGACGGCTGGTTGACAATGGTTTAAAGAAGGAAACAAATACTGCCAAATATCTCCAGGGTCTTCTCTGCTTCTTACATGCATTTAGAGGGTTGTTATCTGCTGTCTAATATTACAATAGCTATCATCTAGAGGACTCAAGTAGGAGGCTCTCCTCAATTAGCCTCCACTAAAGCCAGCTACCTTCCTGGCTTAGAGTTCTATTTATTGAAGATGCAGTTATTTTAACTTTGTGCCATTAGGCCTTTGTTATTTTAATATTTGTCTTTGCTTTCTTTTGTGTTTAAGAGTAGAAAAAATCCTCTACAATGTAACAGAAATGTCTGATACTGGGTGTCACTTACAATAGCTGTCTAGTTACTGTAAAATCAATACACAAAATCAGCTGCCCAGAATTACAATTTCAGCATGGCCAAATGCAAGGAAGAAATAAATACAGTTTTACAAATAAGCAACTGATTATTTCAGGGGTAAATAAGGTTAAAATAATCCTTAGGTGCATGAATGGAAAATATCACATAGGTTTAAAGAGATTAGGTGACTTGCATTTGACTTGTTGCAACTGATTCTGGAAGACTTGTGTAGATTTTGTGTTCAGAGCAGCCCAGTGAGAATATTAGTGGAGCAGAAACACACCCTGTATCAAGGTCCAAAGATTCCGTACTGTAACAAACCTAGGGAATGAGTTTTATTAAAAGCAATACAAATTTTGTGGTATTAAAAGTACAGGTAATGTCTAAACGTCATAGTCTGTAGTCCTAGTTTACACCTTGAAGGCTGTGTAACACTTAGTAAGTGCGACTATTTGGAATTCAGTATAATCAACCTCAAGCTAAATCCTTGCAGGATAACAAAAGACAACTTTGCAGGACTGGATTTAAGAAACTTTTGGAATAGCACAATATACCTGAGTTCTGTTTGCCCATACTGAAGCACTCCATTTGCTGTGATATCCTGAAATCATTCTCAACACCATCTGAAATTTAGACAAAAAATAAAGTCAGCCTTATTTAAGAAAATTTTTGCAAATTTAAGAAAATAACCACTAAGTTTGGAGAACAGATGTAAAGCAGTAACTGAGGTCATTAGCTACCTGTATTTAGATATTGCCTGGGTCCTCCTCTGTTCCACTCAGCTATGGACTAACAGGAGAGAGTCAAGGCGTGCTGGAGCCAGAAGTGATCCCTCAGATGCAGCTGGAGACACACTCCTGGGTTTGTCTCTTCTAAATTGGAATCTCTCAGCCAAAGCAAGCCATTTCCTCCAAAGTTCTAAACTAGCAGTGGGTTACAGGGAGCGTTAATGCACCCCTGAAAAATGTCTGAATTCCACAATTTTGATAAATAACTTAACTAGGTTATCAACTTATGGGCCTGTTGATGGAAAAAAAAAGCCTGACATCAGACAGAGGTGCTTCTGAAATGAAACCTCATGCTGGATGACCTAGGCAGAATTACACATCTAACTTGCTTCATTCAAGAGTGCAATTATGTCCCTGCTTTTTCATACTGGTTTGTGACCAAGTGTTACGTCATTTCTGAGTTTGAATCAGTCTAAATATTAAACTTCCCGGAACACGAAACTCTAGAGTAATTTGAAGCATTACAGGGTTATGATAGCTCATTACTAGCCTTAAAGAGGGACCTAGTACCAAGACGATCTTGGAGAAAATTTCAGTCATCCTGCTTTTTGCAGACTATCCCAGAGAAACAGAATAGAGTGGTCTCCAATCCGGTATACAAAACTCCAGTCACTGGAAATTAAGCCTAGAGAAATTTATATTAAAAATGAAGTACATATTAGCTGTCATGAGACTTTGCCCCTTGACCAGCTTTCAAAATGCCTTACTAGACTTTTCATCCCTGCAAGCTGTAAGCTTTGTTAACAACTACAGCTATTAGACATGATGCAGGAAGTAATTCAGAGAAGTTCCATATCCTAGATTATGCAAGGAGTCACATGATATGGTCACAATGGGCAAGTCTAAACCAGGAAACTTTAGAACATACCCCACTTGCTATGAGTATGTTTGTCCTTTGCCAAAACAAAGTCTATCATGGGAAAAGATACAGATATACACAGAAAGTGAAATACGTGTGTAGTCCCTGCCTGGATAATCAATGGTCTCACTTTCTGGACTATACCGCAGCAAGTGCCATTGGGGAAGTGCAGACACATCCACTATTCCTTTAATTCTACACATCCATGCGTACATTTTGAAAGATTTCCCCCTCAGTGTGTCAGTCATAAACATAACCCAGACCCTCTATGGATCACAAAGTCTGTAACTAATCCTGTAATAGTTAAACAAGGCTTCTAATAGCGTCTTCCTCCAGACCTTTGAAACTTTCTTGAGCACTGCAGCCACAGCTCAGAACATCCATAGTCCAGAGCCAGTGGAGGGTGCAGAAGCAGGCTGACTCACACAACAGGCTCAGCTGTTCTGCTAAAGGAAGGGCTACGGAGAGGAAACACGGCACAACTTTCATGCCTTTAACTCCATCTTACTGTCCTTTTTGTACCCCCCCCCCCCCCAAGTATACTTCTTCTTACATTTTATTTTATCCTTTATAAATTTAACTAAAAGTTTCCACTCATAACAGCCAAGTTTAACATCATCAGGAAAAAAAGATGCAAAGTCAAGAGTTCAAAGGCTGTCTGAAAGAACATGTCTGAAACTTATTTCAGCACTTTCTTACATCGCAACACCATCCCTATTTGCATAATCACAAGCTATTTTTGTTCTAGAGAAGCTTTCTCTCAGTGCTCAAGACAAAGACTATTCAGGGACAAGCTCAAGGGTCTTTAATGCGTCTGTCTGATACATAAGATCTCAGTCTCCCAGGACTTGCTGGGAGGAATAGCAGTGAGTTGTCCTATCATCTCATTTTACCAAATATGGAGGCAAATAAAGAGATTAGTTTCTTATATTGGCTGTTTGAAGCAATAACAGTTGATGTTGGGCATAAATCAGGAGGTGTAAGTGAGCCAAGCAAGGGGTGAGCAGCACTGAGTAGGTGAATGTGAGCTTTGCATGGAGCTAGATGAGAAATTCAGAGTGCTGGAAGGAATGGTATTATTGAGCAATTAAAGTAGAAGATAGGTACTAAATTGGTGGGAGGAACAAGAAGGTTGAAAACGCGTAGCTGTTCCGCGGATGCATGTATGGCAGTTTTACGCTTAAAGGGTGCTTTTCGTCTGTGACGCACAGGATAACGTGGCTCAGCCCCTGCTCTCTGTTGTCTGCTGGATGTGGCTTAGGCGACTGCTAGGCAGAACGCACCTACTGGTGCACTGGGCAGCTGCGCACAGGTGTCTGCCAAGTCACGGGGGTGCTGCTGGGGAATGGCCGTCCAGGAGTGACAGCTGTGCTGGAGAGTCAGAATTCAAATAAGCTGCTTGTTTAGGTGACCAGATGGATAGTGTGGCAGGCACCTCTGAGGGAAGTTCACCTGCCCTCCACCCGCTCCTGCAGATCAGCAGGAGCTGGCTGTGGTGGGGAAAGAGGGCGGCACAGTTCAGCCCGGTTTCCCCCAAGCGTTTGGAGACCGCGCAGGGCCTTCTAGCGTCTCTGAGCCGCTTGTGGCGCGGGGGCTGGGGCAGCTCCATGGGCAGCGCCGAGGCGGGAGCGGCCGGGCGCCGCCGCTGCAGTCGAGCCTTGCCGGAGCGAGCGGGGGCGCCCTCTGCCGGCACCGCTCGGCACCTGCGGGGAGCCCCCCCATCTTCCGCCCTACCGGCGCTGGGCGGCCGGGCGCTACCGCAGCTCCCCTTCTTCTTACCGTGACGGTTCATTCCGACTGCCATGCCCGAGGCGCTGCGAGCATCGGGACTGAAAAGCTGAGGGGAAGAGAAAGGCGGGCTCGGGCGCCATCTTGTGCGCACCGGGCGTGAAGTGCCCGGCTGCCTGTCTGACGGCTGCGGAGCCCTCGGGGGAAAGGTGCTCCTGTGCCTTTAGGAAATTACGTGGTTGATCAGGAAACCATTTCTCGAATACTGCTGGGGCTTAATAGCAGTTTACGTGCTGCTTCTTTTTGTTTACACTGCTGATGTGTCATTTACAAACGTGCCTAAGGGATCTGGAAAAAATTAAAATAAATGGGAAGGTTAATCCAGGCTCCCACAGATTAGTTTTTCTATACATTGTATGATAAACACTGGATTTACAGCATCAGTCACTGCACAGCAGAGTTCCAGGAGTAAAGCAGCTGTAAGGATTGTCCATATCCTCACATAAGGACCCTTTACATTATAGGTAATTGCTGAATATATGTTTAATCCAGAAAAGCCCAGAGCACTCAGGCTTTGTATCAACAACCAAAAAAAAAAAAAGCCAAACTATTTTCCATCAAGTGTTAAGGCTTTAATTAGAATCTAGAGGTCTGGCTTTAGGACGTGACACAGAGCAATGGCCTTCAGGCCTCCTTTTGCTCCAGGCCATCTTGCAATATGAACTGTGCCACACTGGTCTGAACAGGAGAATAAACCAATAATGAAACACTATCATCATTTATTGCTAATTACTGTCAGAAGCAGAACAGCTTCAGGTGTGGAAGATGAAACTGAGTTCTCCCTAAAAAATGTCAAAACCAGTCATCTGGTATTGGCACTCTAGCCCAGGTTGTAGAGGGGGCATTTAAGCTGCATAGGCTGCAAGCCAGATTTAGACACCTGTTTTGTGACAGAGCTTCCAGATTGAAAATGCTTTTGGCTACTTCACTCTTTGGTGCCCAAGCCTCACATCTTTCCTTTGCCCATGTAGTGTTAATGAGTTTCCACCAAGAAGTCTGGTCCTCTGAACGAGGCGATGCGCTCCTCCAGACTGGGTGAGGAGGTAAGCTCCAAGGCGCAGCAAGAAGGAGCACCACATACCTACCCCACAGGCAGTCCTGTGGGGTGAGGAAGCTTCAGACAGCGTTGGATTCCCAAACTGACTTAAGCCATTGGAGCAGCGTTCCCAGCAATGTAAGACGTCTCCTGTTTGCCATCATTCAACTTTCTGAGTACGCAGAGACACCAAGGTACTGAACCCTTGCTGAAACCCTTGAAATTAACATACCAGGTTAGCTGGAGACAGCCTACCTCTCACCAGGCCATCTCCCAACATCTTCGCTCTTTTGCTCTAAAGCAGATGCCTCCCAGCTGGTTTTGAGGTCTCAAGCTGTCTCCCTCCACTTCTTTGCACAAACTACCTGATAAGCTAAAATCCCGCTAGATGGCACAACAGTTTAAACCCTTTATTACTATCCAAACCACTTCAGAGCAAGTGCCCTGGGACCCCCCCCCCCCCACACCACGTAGGATCTGGGGCTTATGCTCACCGAGCACAGCAAATACAGCCTGTGCTAATCCAGTGGAGAAATCCATGCAGAAATGTCCGTTCAGTTCCTTTTGATGGGCTTTATCACACATAAAGCACCACCAGCAGGCAGGAAAGACGAATATGAACTAGTCCTAAATAATTTTCTAAACCTTGTTTCCTCTTTCTGTGTGTGATACATAAAGGATACTTGGAACACTGACGGTAAAGTGTAGTTTAAACAACTTCTAGTCACTGCTGTGCTGTCATTTTTAACCAATGCAAACAGAGTTATATTATTTTGTACCATCACTACTGTATGAAAGCTGCACAACACAGAAGTGGCCACTGTGGGTCAAATTGTGGGTTCATATAACTAAATACGATGTCTTGGACAGTGCAAACATGTATGATGTTTCCCTTGATGTTGCCCTATTGTCCTTCAATAGGGCAAACATATATGACTAGCTCTCTTGCAGCCACACATTTGTGTTCCTGGACTTTCTGAGTTGGGAGAAATTTTCTGTATGATTAGTAACTCGTAACTTTAAACTAAAGTTAGATACAATTCACACTGTATTTAGTATAAAATCAGTCTTTGTCTTCAATGACAACTGAGTCTGCCCTGTACATTGGTGTACTGTCAATGATTTGGAAATTTCTGTTAAAATATACCACTTTGCAAACTGCTTTGTCACTTATTTTATCCATCCAAGCTCAGCCTATGCAGTATTATACCAGAATGACTGTATATAGCACAGGTGGAAATAGCTGTATGAGGAATCATAGCAAATGAGCTTAATTTAAAAAAATGCTTAATTACGTCTCTTAATCTCTCTAAATGAGAACATTCTAATGATCAGTCCCCTACCTTGAAAACTATTTCGTCCTTTATTGCCTTCCAGATAACAAATTGAATTTTCCTGGGTTATAGCAACAAAAGATGCACCTCAGCATGTTAATCTACTTCTTAACATGAGGCTTCTGATGAAGGGCTGACACAAAGAAAATTACCTTCCTAATAACGTGGAAAAGATTGAGGCCAATTTTCTGTATATTCAAAGTATCTAAATTGTTTTATATATGCACAGTGAAGTTACAAGTGTATTTCATGGCTTTTTTTTTTTTTTTAAATGCAGAGTGGCTAATAATGAATACTTGCTTCATTAAGTTCTAAAATTTGAAGACAACAAAGTTACCTTTTTTTTTTTGCTTGGTACTGAAAATGAATTTCTTTGCTCTATAAAAGCCCAGGATAGTGCTGCAAAGTGGTGAAAACGATACTATTACCTGTGCCATACTTGCTGGAATGGAAATTGGGATTAATGCATTATAATACTGGATTAGCCTTAATAGAAGTTTGCTGCTGTAATTTATCAAGGTAATTAGGTATGTACCTAATTTTAGGCACTAAGAAGTTCTGTTGACTTCTATGAGACGTATGCATTTAAAGTTAAGCATGTTTTAAAATACTCTGCTGATTCAGGGCCATAACTGTTACCCTGTGGATTAGGAGAATGCCCTGTCATCAATTACCCTTAGCTGAGCTAATGGGAGGGTGGTATAGTCTGGATAATGGTTCAGACTGGATAAACAGGCTCAGTGAGAAACATATTCAGAAGCACTTCATTTGCTCTTTACAGGCTTAAAGTTTAGTGGGACTATCACCTATCTTCAAGGTATTAACAAGAAAATGAACCAGAGCTTTCCCAACCTTAGCTGTGCTTGAGTTAGCCCTGCCTAAACCCCAGACTACTTGACAGCATGGTATAGAGACCCCCACATAGCAGTAAAAGGGCTAGCTCCCCATTTGGCTGAGTCAGGCATAATAGAGAACTAATAAATTCTTCTGGACCAAAGTTCATGTGGCACAATCTCTCTCG